GCTGGTCTGCCTGTTAATGATAATATCATTCTATATTGGACAAGTGGTCAGCAGAAGATGACCTTCTTGTATTCTGTAGTACTGAGTGCTTTAAAGATTGAATTATAGCTGACAACAAGCTGTTAATAAAACTCCCATGAGCATGTGCAATTGTGATTCCACACCAGGCACATACTCCTGAATAACACTCATCCAGGGCACCCATCACTTGATGTGTGCCAACATCACCCAAAGCAGGTGCACATGAATGTTTTTTTTTTTTCTTGTGTTACCAGGAGCTTCATAGAGGTTACCTCCATTTGCCACCCAGGGTTGTTGGTCTGTACAAAGAGCACTGTAAAGTGGTCACTATGACTACCCCTTTGTGGAGTTTCAGGACTGCTCTGAAAGCTTCTACTGTTTCCTGACTGTTGCTTGAGAGAATTACAGTCCTGATTGGCTCCTTCTTGTTTTGTAGCTGGCAAGTTCATAAGTGTCTCCTGAAGGCATCTGCCCAGGTATGGAATGTGTGTCCTTGTGATGAGAAAAGAAGGTTTTGTCACCATGGGAAGTTTTCATTGCAGCTGCCTTTAGGGAAGAGATACACAGATCAAACATAGGCTGAACACATTACAGGGATGCTAGTGCTGCACCAGCTGTTTCTCCACATGAGGAGACAAAACATTTAATTCACCTGGAGGGGTTCCTAATATGTGGAGATATCTTTTTTCCTTCATTGGAATTCAGGAATCTGGATTTTCTTGTGAAGATAAATGCCTGTTGTACAGAGGAGGAGGCAGCGATGGTTCCCTGAAGGTCCTTTTAACTCCTTGCCTTTCCATGGTTTTGAGTGAAATTAGTGCTAATGATAAGAGCTATCAGACTTGAATTGCCTTGCTGATTACTGCTCACACGTTCAGTGCTTAGATACATAATTTTGGTGCTTCAGATCATGCACGGCAACCCAAACAGAAAATCCCAGGAAACTTGTACAGGATGAGGGCATTTGGATTTGAACACTTCTAGGATACAGGTGGATGCAAAGCCAGAAAATACCTTGCTTGGTATTTTCTTGGTTGTTTAAGGTTTACCTTTTGGGTAGAATTTTTGCTGCCTAGCAGGGTATGTTATTCTTCAGCCCAAACTTGTGTCTACAGTTCAGCTGTATGCATGAATTTCATTAGCTAAATCCATGTCTGTGTTTATTCCTTTAACAACACAATGCACTGAGCAGCTGCTGGGTTTTGACAGCAGTATCAGGCTAAATAATGGCTCCTCTGCAATGAGGAAATAAGGTGACTTTTGTAAGATTCTTCTTTCAGAAGTGTTTTAGAATAAAGCAGCACGTCATTGTCTGTCACATTATGTGACTTGGTTGTCTTCATTTCTTTTCAGTTCCACATTCAGTACTCTACTAGAATAAATAAAAGCAGCACATCATTGTCTGGTGATGAATTGTCTGTCACATTATGTGACTTGGTTGTCTTCATTTCTTTTCAGTTCCACATTCAGTACTCTACAGTCATCTGTAAAGTCAGCTCACATTGATATTGGTGGAGGGAGCCACAACTGAGTTGTGACATTCTGTTGCCCAGCAAATAAACTATGAAACCCCATCACTCCCAGATTTTCAGTGTAGTCAAGTCCTTTCAAACCCATTCATTTCTTGGTGCAGTCATAATTCCAAAAATTCTTCCATCATCTGTTAGGTGTAATTATTCTTTTTCACAAGAGGGTTTTCCACACTATGTTTATCTGCATGTTGATGTCAGAAAATAGGACTCAGAAAAATGGCTCAGACTGTAAAAACAGACCTTTTTTTTTTCCAACCCATGGTGCAAATTCCTTGTATGTTAACTACTATAAACACAAATTCAAACTGGGGTTGAATTTAGTGATAGTACCAGAGTGTAATAATCTAAAAGGACTATATTGCTACAGGCTGAAATAAATACAGTTTTTTAAAACAAAATCTATTACAGAAAAGTATACAATGTGGGTGGCCCCCATACTTCAGGAAAAAAAAACAAGCACTGTAATGACTGTCTTGTGCTCCTTTCATATTCCTTCTATCACTTTAATATTTCACATAAGGCACTGTTGGGCAGCCTCTGCCCTTTGGGGCAAGAAAAAGTGGTTGTGAGTCATCAACAAAGAATAATTAAAAAGCTACATTTTAGCCAAAGGAACAGTTGTTCAGTGATGCAGTGTGCTCTCTTTTCTTCAGTGGTGGGAGGAAAAAGGTTCTTACCTTAAGGGCAAATAAGCTCCTTTTGAATGACAATGATACAAGTGTAGAGCAAAGGGCACTCTGATCAGCTGGGAACTCCTGTGTTACCCTGGTGGTGTGCCTAAATTTCTGTGAGGGCTTGGAGAGATCACTCCATCTTCTTGCCTCTTCCCCCCAAGTACAACACGTGAGTAGGAATGTTCATCTTGTGGGAACACAAACTGTTTATCTGATGTAGTATTTTAGTGTTCGTAAGATATCTTGAGCATATGAAGAAGTAGAAGTCTCACCATTAACTGGTTACTTGATTATTCAAACTGCTTCTTCACAAATAGCAGGACAGAAGGTAACTAGTAATCTTATTGTGGTCTCTCCTTATTAACTTAATTTTGAACTGATGGCTATTTTCAGTCTTTTTTTTTTTGTTGTTCTGGTGGGGTTTGTTTTGGTTTTTGTTTTTTGGGGTTTACTTGTGTTTTCTTTATTTTATTTTTAGTTGATCACATAATATCCTTTGGTTCCTCCAAGTTTCTCAGTCTTTGTGTTCCTAAGTCTGTATCCAAATTCAGAACTGCTGCTTTCCTGCTGTGTCTGGGTTACCCAGTGCTTACATATCCAATATTCATCTTCTGTCTTATGGAGTGATTCCACTTGATACTGACCAGCAAAAGCTGACTATGGTAGAGGATGATCCCAGAGCAAAAGAAAAAAACACCTCTAAAGTCTTGAGGGAGGAGTAAATGGAAAACTCTGGGAATTTAGTCCCTTCTCATAAAACAGAGAAGTGTTTAAGAAAGTTGCTCACATCAAGGCTAAGAGAGCATAATAGTTTCTTCCTTTCTGGGAGTGGTTTGTAGGTTTCAATATGAAATAAGAGTTGTGTGGGGCTTAACTCTGATCTTCCTGACCAGTTTCCATAGGTTTCCCTTTCTGCCCTGTCAGTTGACCTTTCTTGGGCTTAATATCTTTTTTTTCCATTCTTTGAGGATTTTGCCTTTCTACATAAGTGTCCATCCTGTTTTGCTGAAATGATATAGTAGCAATTTTTTGGTCCTTTCTATTTGTTACTCCCTTACCCATGGTAAAAAATAATTTATAATTCAGGTTGAATGTCCTTATTCAGTTCTGGGCTTTTGGAAAAGAAGTCTGAAAAGTTACAAATGTTTCATTTCATTTAATCCTCATTGTAGTGAGAAATGATGCCACAGACATTCTGTTTGTGGAAATTGATCTGTGTCAGTAATGTGATAGAGAACCAAAGGCACAGAGTGTCATGACAACATTTAGCACATAAAATCAAGCCCTACACAAGCAGAGATTAATCATGCCTATAAGGTAAATGTGTACTGTAAATAGTATTAAACCAGAGACAATCCTTAGAATATCTGTCAGTGTGACTAGTGAATTTATAGGTTACCAAGAACCCTC